TTTTGCAACGCGCGATAAGGAACTTCGTTCCAATAAACCGAGACTTGTGAGTATTTGCAAGAAATTTCTGTTTGCTTGTGGGAACTGTCATAAATTTATCAAAAATGACATCAGAAGATAAAGATGTAGCTCGACGTCGTTGTTCTGCGGCTTTAGTATTTTTATTACAATCGGTGTAACCATCAAATACTACAGTCACTCTGTGGCCAAGATGTCTACGTATATACTAAACAAATTTGTCTAAAATATTATGAAATGTTTCTTCGTGGTCACAGACAACTCGGTGTAACAGAAATCCCCCGTCGATGATGAACGTAGAATTTATATTGTCAATATCTAATATTACTGTTTGAAAACAATCGTAAATGGCTGACTTTTGTGTTTTACGCATTCCAATATCATCAAACATTGACAACGGGTAGGGAGCCAATTCAAATTTGAAATATTTTTCAATTTCATCTTCCAAAGCAGTCGTAATACTCATGCGTTAAAATAATAATACAGGGTCAACAGGAATCTTCTTATCGTTAACTTTGACAGTGCTACTCATAGCTAAAAGAGGTACCACTTTATCAGCACGTTTGAATTTAATGTTATCAAACGTCAATCCTGTTATTTTTGACATGCAAGCAATCCCAACTTCACGAGCTTTATGACAATTAATTTTGTCGTCACCAACAATTCCACTGGCAATAGATACAATTCTGTTGACTTCTGGAAAAGGATCATGTAAAGAAAACCACTCTAGGAGGCTTTGTATGTCTGAGAATCTTTCTTCATTCGAGAATCACTTGCATCAACATACTGATCTGTTGTATCCATTCTAACATTAGCGAAATCTTCCAATCCTTCACAAATAGCATTCATTGCATGCATACCATATACCCATTTACTTATGACACTCGCTTTCGTACTTGCCCTCGAAAAAGACCTCCATGTGTCTTCATTGCTTTCATCATTGACTGCTCGATCACCACGTCTGTTGAAGTTCCACATCTCAATTTATCTGAACGCCTAATCGTGAAATATCCTCCTGTGAAACGTTGGTAAACATCAGAATCCATACAGTTTTTTAATTGTAGCATATCTTGTGGATACGAAGGGTGATCCAAAAGTAATGATAATCGGTTACTTCAGGTCCGCATAAAAATCCAAAAAAAAATTATTTTTGCTTGCTTATATACTCACTACGTCAGCCTAAAAAATCATATAAATAGATCACGACTTCCGGGAGATACATTCATTTGAATACGAACTGTCAGATAACATCAACATGGAGAAAAACGAAATTAGAGCTGTCATCAACTACCTCTGTTTGAAAAAAATGTCTTCAAAAGACATACACAGTGACTTAGTGGAAACATTGGGGGACTCTGTTCCTCCATATTCTATAGTTGCACGCTGGGCCAAGGAGTTTAAACTGGGCAGATCATCCACTGAAGATGAACATCGCGAAGGACGCCCATCCACGTCCCTCACTGAAGACAACGTGAAAAAAGTCGAAGATGTTGTGTTGGCAGATCGAAGAGTGACCATCAGACATGTAGCTGAGGTCACAGGAATCTCATATGGCAGCGTTCAAAGAATCCTTGCGAACGAGTTGCATATGAAAAAGGTCTCTGCGCGTTGGGTACCCCGAATGTTAACCTACGAGCAAAAAAAAAATCGAGTTGACATTTCGAGGGTCAATCTCGAAAAGTTCCAAGCAGATCAAGAAAATTTTTTTGTTCCGTTTTGTGACTATAGACGAGACCTGGATCCACCATTTTGATTCTGAAACGAAACAACAATCGATGGCTTGGAACCGAGCCTCCTCACCGACGCCAAAGAAATTCAAAGTTGCAAGTTCGGCGGAAAAGGTTATGGCATCTGTTTTTTGGGACGCTCAAGGCATAATTATGGTGGAATATTTGGAAAAGGGAGCCACTATTACGGGCTCTTACTACGCAGACCAAATAGGACGATTACGGGAGGCCATTAAGGAAAAAAGACGCGGCGAACTGCGAGCTGGAGTGCTGTTTCACCAAGACAACGCACCGGCTCACAAAGCCGCAGTTGAAAGAAAGAAATAAAGAAATAAAGAAAACATTTATTGCTCAAATACGCCACATGTACATTTAAATCATAAACATAAAAAATACATAGTAAAAAGAAGAAAAAAAGAAGAATAAAAAAAATATTTAACACATCACACATTTTACGCACGCAAGTGTGTGTGGCGTACACGGAAGACAGACCGCACTCAGCTTAATGCCGCAGTCGATACGAGACTACAGCGCTGGTATTCAGTGGGCCTGTGAATTAAGTGACGTGCGGATGTTCACGCCGTCATTGGTAGACTAATAATAATTAACATAGATTACATGAATGAACTAACTGGATCTAATACAAAGAGTGTCCGAAATATTTTAAAAAGTATTGTTATCACCATAAGAGTCATGTATCTATGAGGTATTAGTTTGAAATAATATAAAAGAAGAAACACTAAATGATGGTACCCTACAAAAAAATTTTTCTGACAGGTATGTGATCATAACCATAATCTTAAGCAACAATATTATCATTAGAAACAATATTTTAATAAAGTCAATAATGATTGCACGTTAAACATATACTTGTATCATAGTTAAAATTAATAGCATGAAAAACACTTTCATTTCAGCCTTTAAGTATCAAAAAAAAAGTTCTAGTTGCGATGGCTGCCATTCAAGAAACGGGATTCGAACTGCTCGAACACCCTTCCTATTCGCCAGATCTAGCTCCTAGTGACTTCTACCTCTTTCCTCGGCTCAAGGAACGCCTCCGAGGCAAGAAATTCGAAGTCGATAGCGAAGTAATGGCCGCTGTTGAAGCGTTTTGGGAGGGTCAAGACAAAGAATTTTTTTCAAAGGGAATCCTGGGTTTAGAAAAAAGATAGACTAAATGTATTGATTTGTTAGGAGACTATGTAGAAAAATAAATTATTATTTAAACTTTAATTACCGTGTTTTATTTTCATTATCATTATTTTTGGATCACCCCTCGTATAAGTGTGCAAATTTAACATAAGAGAAATGTCCCGACGCGTGAAACTAAATAAGCATTTCTTTAACGCTGTCAAATGAGCTTGCCAATCTCCCATACGTTCAGCTCTTACTTTGCTATGGACACCATATCAAAATATTGAATCCATAATTTTGCGGTAGGTCCTCGTTTTTCATATTCCTTTAGTTTTTAATTAAACTGATTCAGTAATGCTCCAGATGTTTCATTATCATGTTCAACATCATTATATGAAATATATATATATATAAACACTCACGCCTGTCATCCAGAGAGGTAGGCAGAGACTACAGACTTCCATTTGGCACGATCCTGACCTGGCCCGTTTTTAATAAATCGCTAATTAGGTCGATAAATTTTCGCCTAGGGCGTCCCTTTCCGACTCTGCCATTCATTTCTGCAACATAAATTTTCTTTGTCACTCTTTCCTCATTCATTCTTTCTACATGACCAAACCACCGAAGCATTCTTTTCTTAATCCTGGTCACAACAGCATCTTGCAAACCACACTCTTCTCTTATCACACAATTTCTCACCCTGTCCCTCATGAAAACCACTATGAACCCACCACTATGAAACACCCATATGAAATAGTATTATCTATTACATTTTTCGCAGTTATCATCAGATTTTCATCAATGGCGTCATCAATATCAAGTTCTTTAAATATTATTATTGTTAAAGCTAATTGAGTAATGTATGATCTCGAATAGTTCTCTCGTATGCATGGCCGTTTAGCATTTTATTTAATGACCCAGGTGCATTAATTAAAGAAAGTATTTCTTTTATGACGCTTCCTTGCATGATGTAACCAATCGCTCCAAGAAATGACATAATTAAATGAAATCCTCCGAGCCTGATTATGATTTTCGACGATTCAGAACCTTCAGGTGCAGCTAAGACGATTTCTCGAGCTTTTGCGTACAGAGGTTGATCAAAAGTAACAATGCATACATCATGACCGTAACGTTTTGCATTTTCTGAAGGACAAAGTAAAGTGGTGTATATGGTATTGTAATTACTAGCTGCTTGATGAATAAACGGTAAAAATTAAATTTTCGATGTTGAAAAATTCATAATATTACTTGTTAAATGTTCAATAAAACCATTCCAACCGAGAATTGATAGATTTCTCCATTTGCCATAGAAACATATCTAACTAACTAACTTTCTGTTAGCTGCTCTGAAGATACGTTTTCGGAGAAAACTTGTTTAAGGGCAGTGTGATTTTCAAGATCTGTCACTTCGAGCTGAATGTTTGCTGGATATTCAAGCAGATCAGTAAAACTGATTGCAAAAGGATTCATAAACAGCTTATTATTTTTCTTGTCAGATTCAAAATCCTGGAATCTGTTTACAAAAGACTTTTAAACATTTTCTTTATGATAGGTACTTCGGGATATCAAGGGCAGTGATTTTTAACCCTTCTTTTACACTTGCAAGTGTGGAAAAATGGTCGATTTTATTTCTCTCTAAGGTTGCTGCTCACAAGTTCAACTTCCCTTTGAAACCATTGATCAAGTTTAACATTGTTGGAAGAGAACAAATCTTTTCCTTGCAATTTAAGGTTCAGAACATTAAGGTTCTTCATAATATCAACTACAAATGCAAGATCGCAGTCATAATGAGTTTTTAAGCAGAGCTCTCTCTGCTGGTAATGCTTGTTTTTCTTCCAGAAAATCCAGAACCGGCTCCCTCAAATCATAGAAATGTTTCAACATTTCGCCCTTGGATAACCAGCGAACAGCGCAATAGATATGTACTTCGACGTATTCTTTAATTTCTTCTTCAAACAACATTCTGAATTGTCGGCGGTTAAGTGCTCTGGCACGTATGAAATTAATGCAACGTTCGTTCGAGGATGGGTCAATCACATCCTCGAACGTCATGTCTTCAGCGCACAAAGCTTCTTGATGGATAATACAATGTTAAGAAAACAATTGTCGACCGATGTGATTTTACACCAAAGCTACAGCACCATTGGTCTTCCCCATCATCGAAGGTGTTCCATCAGTGCAAACTGAATTGCATTTATCCCAGTTTAGGTTCTTACCCTGAACGCAATCTTTGAGTTTTATGAATATATCCTTTCCTGTGGTAGTAGTTTTAGGTTGACAGAGGTCCAATAAATCTTGAAATATATTAAAATTGTCATCAATACAGCGTACAAAAACAGCTAACTGTGCTATACCTGTTAAATCGCAGGTTTCGTCCAATGCAAGTGAAAAATATCTGCATTTAGTGACAAACTCTGTATTACTGATGATGTCTGTTGACATTTCTTCTACTCGCCTCATTACTGTGTTGCGCGAAAGTGAAATACTATCTGCCATGGCTTTAACCTTTTGATCATTGCAGTTCTGTTCAAAAATTGTCAAACTCTGTTTTATAATGTTCCCGTCAGAAAACGGCTTTTTCTTTTTAGCCAAGAGTAAAGATATTGCATACGATGTTTTGATCATGGCTTCCAATTCGTCATGTTGTTTTACAAAATTATTTTGCTGTGAAAAATAGCTCTTCTTTTTCTTTATAAAATCTGTCCTTAAAGCTGACCACGCTGGATACTCTTTTTCGAATTTCGCATGGTTTTGTTTGAAATGCCGCTCTAAATTATATTTTTTAGCAACAGCTACTGTTGCTGAGCAATTGAGACACACCGGTTTGCGGGCTTTGCTCTAGGTGAAAAAGTATTTTGGTTCCCATTCTTCGTGAAACGTCCGAGAGTTATCCTTTATTTTTGATGTACTAGGTTTGCTAAGGGCCATACTAAAACAATAGAGATTTAACTTGTAAACTACAGTTAACGATTTTAATATGGAATGTAGGTAAGTAAAGTAAAATAATTGACTTGGACTGGCACAATACGACAATATTAATAAAACTTGACTAAATACCTACTTACCTACAGTTATAACATAACGCACAATAAACAAACAAAAACCTAAAATGGTAGGTAGATATCTAAATTAAAATCACAGCACGTACATAGTCACTTACCTGCGGAAAATGCAAATTTTTTATAGAATCTTTTCTAATTTTCAAAACAAATTGTCACCTAACTGATTTTATTATTGTAGTACCTAATCCAATGCACCCGAAGTAAAATTGGTACGTAGAAGTAGCGACAACACCCGAACGACGCGGATCGTTTGCGCTCGGGCGGGGATGTTTTCGTTTTAACCGACCAATCAGGTGGAGGCGGCAAAACTGCGCGCCCTGGCTTGCCGCTGGCAGGCAAATTCAAATGCCTTGGCGGGCCGCTTCGTGGCCCGGGTGCCTGGGTTTGGCCGGCCTTGCTATAAAGCTTCCTTTGGAACTTCGGAAGCCTAAAAAATATGTATTTAGCAGAAGACAATTACTTTGGTTTTTCACTGAATGTCCTTTGTAGTAAGTAGATTAAAAGTAGGTAAATCAAACAAACAGTTTCAAATGTATCCAGTCCGCAAAAAACAAATCAAAATCCGTAAATCCAAGCCAAAGTATTCGTGTCAGTAAGATTCCAGAAACCAGTTAACAAGCAAACGTCAAATAAAATAAGAAGCCAACGTTAAATTAAATAAGAAACACAATAAATCACACGTGCGCACTCTACAAGCCGAAACAAGAGAGTGAGTGAAGCCCGCTGTACTGTACATGTATCTGTGTAAGTGAGATAGCTAATACTTTGGACGTTTTAAGATAGAAAGAGACAAAAATAAGCGACGAAAACAGCGCGTACGACGGATTGGCAACATGGAGCATAAACATATAAAAATAAAAGAGATAAATTGCTTTGTTAGAGAAAGACGGAAAACATTTTCTAAATATTAACTACAAGAAAAATAGTACGAGTATGTATAGGTAATTAAAAAAAGTGATCAATAAAAATTTCTTCTCTCTGTTTAAATAAAGAAAAAATTATAAAACTCTTTATATCCTTTTTTATTCTGTATTGTGTAGGCATTTAATATTTCCTTGTGCAGTAAAGTATATTTAGTATTATTTTTCACAGTTTTACTTAATTAATTCATATTTCACGAAGCCACCTCTAACAACATTCCAGGATCCCTGTGTGTGTATATAAGTAAGTATATACTGTTTGGGTGCTCACCTACTACCTGCGCGTAATAACTCACTTAAATCAATCGACAATTTCAAAATCCCGGGATTTCAGAGGCATATCCATGTTCACATCAATGTTTGCGGTCATTCACCCCATTTTTTGTATATTTCCATTTCCTTGTATATTTACTATACTCTTTGATTCACACCAAACAACTCTACCTACTCCGACCACTGGTTATGATCGCCTAGCGTATTTACATTTATATCCGCAGTATCTGCTACATATTGAATAAATGTGCCAGTTTAAGGTGATAAGATATGAGGTGGACGATGAAAAACTGCTGTTGCTTCGTACATCACCGTATCATTATAAGATGCGCACAAACCAAAAGATGAAAAAATTTGTATAAGCCGTTTGGATTCAAATCGCCGATGAAAAAAAAACGGTGTAATTTGAAATAAGAAACAATAAATCACACGTTGAAAGACCTAGTCCGAACAGCGCTCCTAATATTATGGCTAATATTCGTGCATACTAATTGTAAATGTTTTAAATTGAAACGTTTATTTTTTTAAATGACCTCCAAGAAATAAGTCGGTGACTTTGGAATGTCTGTGTCAATATCTTCAAACATACGAGCTGGTGGAGGATAATTAGAATGATCTAACATTGCATATTGAATATCCTCTCGATCGCTCTTCTTTTTTATCTGTTTTTTTTCGTACCAAGCTTGATTTAAAATATGGTGACTATCAATAAAACATACGAATGTTAATGATCCTGTGGTAAATGAAACCAGTGGTAAATGAAGGATAACAGGATAAGGATAATAGGATTTAAGATTAAAGATTTTAGAGCTACGTGTGTCACATGAAGATTGTACCTATTTCTTTGGTTAGAGCTACGTGTGTCACATGAAGATTGGACCCCTTTCTGTGGTTGATGTGTGAGGGGTGGGTCTGCTTGAGGGGGACTGGCTGGCGGTTGGAACGGGCTGGGCTGTTAGCCCCAGCATACGGGCCTTTTGCAAGGTCTCAATACGCAGATTCATATTATGGGTTAGTTGCCGATCCTTGTCCATCCTCTCTACTAGCGAGTACATCATATTTAGCATCTTGCTCTGGTTCTCTTTAACTTCCATGAGCAAGGTGTATACGATTGAAATGTCTAATTGACCTCCCGATCCTCCCTGCGGAGCTGATGGTGTAGGGTTTGGTGATGGGGGAGGAGGAGGGTCTTCCGTTGGATCTTCTAGGTCGGAGTCCTCTTCACTAATGGCTTTAGTTCTCTTCTGCCTAGGTCTGTTTCATTTGTTGCAGGAGACTCATAAAGAAATGATAATCGCCACATTTCTCCAATTGGTCACTATTTGACGCCATTTTTTGTTCAATTAGCAAATTTTTTTTTCTTTCACATTCTATAAGATCATCTCTATAATCCGAGGCTGTTTTGCGCTTTGACGTGTTTGTGCGACTGCTGCACGATGAAACACCTGGACTCATTACGTCAGTGTTTTCTTGCTGGGCATGATTTGACTCGTTGAGGGATTCCGAATCACTGTCCTGAAGATTTCCTGTCATCACTTCTGGTGTAATGTCATCGTTTATAAACTGCATTAGTTGAAAGTATGGCCACGTACTCTCTATTTCCTCGCCACCGTCACCAGAGCGCGGCTTAGGGATTTTCTTTTTTCTTTTCGAAACTGATCGCGCAGATTCTTCCACTTCTTACGCAATTGTTTTTCTGTAACAATAACATTATATTTTTATGTGTTTTGTTTCAGGTTTTTGTCAACAGGAACTGCATTTAGAGCACTGGCTTACAGTTTTCGTATGGGGAAAAGCACTATTGCATCCGTCGTTCACGAAACATGCCGTGTTTTATGGACCGAGTTAGTTTCTGTTCACATACCGATACCAACGGAACAACATCTGAAAACTATTGCAGACGACTTTGAAGCCATCTGGAATTTTCCGAACTGTATAGGAGCAATTGATGGCAAACACTGCGAAATAAAAAAACCACCTAAGTCTGGTTCTGCACATTGGTGCTATAAAAAAAGAAATAGTGTTGTAATGCAAGCTGTGGCTGATGCAAAAAGGAAATTTGTGACTATTGAAGTAGGCGGTCGAGGCAAGCAAAGTGATGGTGGTACTTTTATTGCATCAACGCTGTATAAGCTTATAGAAAATAATAAATACAAAATTCCTATGCCAAAGAGACTTCAGAATTCTGACGTCATTGCGCCCTACGTCCTAGTGGGTGATGAAGCATATCCGTTAATGCATTATTTAATGCGCCCTTATCCTGAGCGAGTACTCAATAATGAAATAAAATGTTTTAACATCAGATTATCTACCGCTAGACAAATAATCGAATGCGCATTTGGTATTTTAACATCTAAATGGAGAATATTATCGAAACAAACAGAAAAAATGCCTTGTCTATTATAAAAGCTGCGTGTATACTGCATAATGTCATAATGGATTTAAACGGCGATCTCGATCTGGATGTCCAACGTGTGCTATCTAACCCGCCAATATATGAAAATCGACACAGAAGCCTTGGAGTAAATAATAACCCATCACGAAGAGCAAAAAAATGTTCGTATAAAATTCACAAACTATTTCTGGGAACAATATCAAAGATTGTAATTTGAGTGCATTATTTAATAAAGTAAAATAATATAATTATTAAACTTACCTTTGCTTTCAGGAAATTGTTCTTTTATTTCAGTCCATAATTTTCTTGTTATTGTGCGATTACAGTGGTGGGGATGTTTACTTTGCCATAAAGCTGGTTTAGATTGAATCGCACATATAAACACTTCAGTATTTATCGCCATTTTAACAAAAATAATGAACACGCGCTTACGCCGAGCGGTAAGACCGAACTGGTTTGATACCCCGCACCCGCGCATTGGATTGCTTGCTGACTAGGCCTGTAGTGTGGCCAAAACGCGCGGATAGGAACGTTTGAAAACTACGCGCGCTATCTCGCTCTTGCCCGTCGCGCTAGGCGTCCGCCTTAGTCACTACACTATGGACGCAAACAGCGGTTTCATATGTTTGATAATTCGCGCCCGTCGTCGCAACCGCCCTAGGCTCGCACTGTGGACGAGGGCTAAGGCTTATTAATAAGGCTTACTAAGAACTGTTTCTACCACAGTTAAGTAATAGTTAAGGGTGAAAGCGTGACAGGTGGTGATAGTATTTCTGATCCATACTTATAATCACGCCTGTAACCCCTGCGGGGCATTCAGAGCATCAACGGATTACTTAATATCGTCTGCGAGGTTATCGTTTATTCTGTGAATTACAATGCACCAAAACGTTTGAAGAAAATCAGCTGCTGAATTTTATGTTTTTTATCGCTCTCTTCCCGGTCCTGCGTGGAGAAATACAGATCCATACATTTTTTATCTTAATTTTGATAAAAAGACATAATAATCCAGATATTTTGACCTTCTGTGTCCGTCCATCGTACCGTCGTACGTCTTGTAAAGGGTGGGCCAAAAATTATTGCACTTTTGAAACATGAATAGAAATAAAACTACAAATGTTAATTTGTTGATAATTTATTTATCGTAATAAGCATTTAATGAAATTTATTTTTTAAAAATGACATCGTCCAAATATGCGCCGTCTCGTTGTTGGCACTCCTGAAATCGACTACGCAAACTTTGGAAAACTCGCTGACACATGCTGCGGGGGATCGCGGCTATCTCCTCGTGGATGTTTTGTTTTAATTGGGATATTGTCGTCGGTTTATTAAGGTACACTTGACTTTTCAGGTATCCCCACAAGAAAAAATCGCGTGGTGTAAGGTCCGGGCTTCTGGGAGACCAAGGGATATCACCTCTGCGAGAAATTAATTTGTTCGGAAACATTTCTTTGACTACCGGTAAATTCATATTTGACGTTGCTCCATCTTGTTGCATCCAGTTTCTGTTGTTGTACTCTTGAAATTCATGTAACTGCGGCGTCAAAAATTCTTGCAACATCTTGACGTATTCCATTGAATTCACAGTTACATTATTTCCTTGGTTATTTTCAAAGAAATACGGATCAATTATACCCTTTGCTGATATGGCAGCCCATACTGTCGTTTTAGGTGAATGAAGTGGCTTTTGGTGTTTAAGGCGCGGGTTGTCCCTGCTCCAATATCGACAATTGTGCTTATTCACGTGCCCATTGATGTGAAAATGGGCCTCTTCCGTAAACAATACATTCTCAAGGCTAGAGAATCGCTCCAGCATAGTGTCAGCTAATAACTTACGTTGAATGTAATCATTTGGTTTCATCTCCTGTACAATTTGAAGCTTATATGGGTGTAGTTTGAGGTCCAGATGCAAAATCCGCCGTAGACTAGTTCTTGGTATTGCCAGAGCCGCCGAACGCTTACGCGTAGATGATTCTGGATCATTCCGTATGGATATTTCGACCTCTCGAATGTTCTCATCACTTCTTCTTGAACGTGGCCGCCCTGTTTGTTTAATATTCGTTGTTGATCCCGTTTGCTCGAACTTCTCGACCCAAGCTTTGATCAAATTAACACTTGGACACTCACTTATATGGCGTAATCACATGCTATCTGTTCGGGGTAGTACCGACACTAAGGGGATGATAAACTTATAAAGCTTGATAAGTTTGATAAAATATATTGTGGATAAGTATACAAATTAAAAGGCTAGAACTACTGATAATGAGTACGCGTAGCGCTCTTGATGGCTATCGGCGAACTGATTTTAAAATATATATGCCGCGGAAATATGTAAAAGAGGTCAAGTTGTGAAATGATGACATAACAATTGTACGTTGCATTACATGCTCGTACATTATCCCGTAAGCGAAGATAGGGTTAGTAGGAGCAAGTAGTGGATGCTAGTAAGGCCTAATCTAATTACAAGGTGATACCATTGTTTCTTATCTATCGTGCAAATGATAACTTGATTAGTACATGACTGTACAAGGTGATTAAACAATATTCTTATCTAAGACTAGTCTATGCACACTGGTTTGGAATTGCGTACACGGATGTGAGCACAGGCGAGGTGCTTCTGTTTCTGCCTTAAACACACGTGCATTCTTTTTTGAAAAATCATTTGCACTCACACTTTGACACTGATTGCTTCTAAAATATTTACTACACTGAGCACTCACACTCACTATTGACCATAACACATTCACTACACTGAGCACTGACACTCGGTAGAACATGTGGCGACGACGTCTCCTGTTCCGTCATAGGCACCGACACTCCCGCCTCCGCGGGGACTCCAGGTGCCGACCGCCTACTGCGCCTCCAGCTGTACACCAGGGTGCCCACCGCAACGACCGCAAATAACATATATATCGCAGCGTAGTGGCGGACATCATGATAAGTAACACTCTCTGCTAGGGGCTCGTTGTTCTTCATAATTTCAATCTATTCCTTGATCATCTGTAGATAATTGGCTATATCATCATTCGTATTGTTCGGTAAGGAGCGATCGGGTAACGATATATTGATGATGTGATTAATTATAATATAATAATAATGTTTATTGATAAACAAAATTTCGTACACACTTATAATCTAATCTTAAGATTAAAGTTTCGGGTAGAACAAACATTTTAAACAATAAAAACTTGAATGCATAAGATGTAGTTTCATTCGAACAAGAAACAAGTTTCACCACTATAACTGTGAACATTATTAAGAATGTAATTATTTATGTTGTGTATTTAATAGTACAAAATTGAAATTTTAATTTTAATTGAGTAAATCTTAATATTTGGAACATTGGAACGAAAAGTGTACACTATAAGATAAAAATTGCTAGCATTTAAACTAGGCCAAGCCTGTGTCTTAAATGCTAGTTTCTTCCTTTAAGTAAATGAACATAGAATATACACTTAAACGTTTTACAAATTACTACTTTTTAATAACGTGTTAATAGGTGTTTATAATTATTTAATATTGTTTTATTTTAATTTAAGTTTAAATTTTAGGACTCAGCTCATTTTTTTATTGTAAATAGATCTTCAATGTCGTCATAAGTTTGTGATTTAAGCCAAACTGTCAACTTTTTTTTGCAATTGTATTTGTTAAGCGGATGTATATTAATCATTCGGTTAATTTTATTATATAGAAAAGGACCAATAAAACATTGAAACTTTTTAATAAAGTGAGTCCTAAAGGGAATATTAGGACACACTCTGTCCTTCCTTCGTATTTGGGGTTGTTTTGGGTCGTAAGAGACTTTCTTATGTTGGGATAAGATAGTATCAACTACGTACAGTTGTCTTACCGTCAGCACATCGCACGTTGTATACAATTCAGCAGTGGGAAATCGGTATGGTTTAAAAGTCATAACCTTAAGTAACGCGCCTTGGGCCCTTTCAACTCTTATTATATGAGATTTTTTTAGCACCTCCCCACGCTCTTATGCAATATGATATTACGGATTGGGCCATGGCATAGTAGACTGATTTTAAAAGTTCATTGTCAGCAACATGCCGCAATGTTTTGAAAATATAAATCAGTTTGCGAATTTTTTCTGATATCATTTTAATTTGTGGTATCCACGTTAGAGTTTGATCCAGAATTACGCCAAGGTACTTTATTGTGGTTG